CTTATTTTTCTCAACTCCATTATATAGTGTTTTGATACATTTTATAATCATTTTTCTGAATCCTTCTTAGGCATTTCCAAAGCCTGCCCATCTTCCCGTATGGACTGTAGGTCTACTTCCAGCTCATTTGCCTCAGTCACTTTATCTCGTTTCTGGACATGTGCAGATATAGTCATCTGCTTCTATTTTTGGGGCATATGCAGGGGTTATCTGTGGCCTTGATACTTAGATGGGTATGTATTTTGGTATTTTTTATGCTTTCTGATTGCCTCCAGGTGGCCAGGAAATGGGCTTCCCTTTTCACTCTTTTTCTTAAGAAATTTCAAGATGCCAATGTTGGTCATTGTGACATAACTTAGGATTTAATTTTCAGCCTATTTCCTTTTTTGTTTGCTTGTCCTGCCCTACAATCCCCATTCAGGCCTTTTTTCTAGTTAATAAACAGTTTTGGGCCGGCTGTGGCCATTTGGTTTTAATTAGAAACTGTCTCTTTAAATTTCGAGGAGATCTGTGAGCATGCGTAGTAGAATCCTCCAAGGGTGGGGCTGGGGTGTCCGCTAGCGCTAGCTCAGGCACGCCTATAGTCACCAGAATGGAGGTACGCAGACAGCAAGGAACCAACGAACAGATACCAAAAGAAATGAAAGTCCACACTTGAATCTCTGTGGTTCTGCCAGGCATCTGTGGCCGCACCAACCCTTCCCCTGCTTGGCCCCATACAAGATGGCGGCTCCTGGAGCAGCTGAGCATCCCGAACCAGAAAGCAATGGATTTCTTCCTTCTGCCACAAACTCCCCCAGCTGTAAGCCTTCCAACCTTCTAAATATTCCTTTATATGTGCTTCAGAGTTCTGGGACCATCCCCTGACCCTGCTTGGTCCTGTATTCTGTATTGTTGCTGGGAGGGAAGCTCCTCGCTGCCCTTCTACCCAATCTGCCATCTTGTTTGTTCTTCTGGAAATAGATTTTAAAAGTCTCTGTCTTCCCACTTGAAGCCTTGGAAACCCTACATAGGGTGCTATGAGTTGAAATCAACTCCATGGCTCTTAACAACAATAAATGTGTTACAATAAGGCAGAGATGCTTTTAAAACTTTCACACAGTGTGATGAATGTGCCTCTGTGGAAGTTGTGGTTGGGAGGTCAGTTAAGGAGACTTTCCCAGTGGAAGTGACACTTGGATTTTGAAGGGCAAGAAGAAGTTCAACAAATGGGAAGAAGCATGGGGCTTTTGCTGGTAGAGCAAACGGAAGTGCAAAGCCATATCCAGAGAAAACTTCCAGAGGGGAGTGGACCCTAGGGCAGGTCTTTCTCTTTTTTTAATTATTGTTGTTGTTGTTGAAAATATACACAGGAGAATATAACAGCAATTCACTCATTTCTGTACATTCAGTTCACTGACATGGATTACATTCTTGCACTTGGGCAGCCATTCTTAGCCTCCTTTTCTGAGTTGTTCGTCCCTCATTCGTGTGAACTCGCTGCCCACTGAGTTTCCTGTTGAGCCCATATAGCTAAATCTTGACAGCACACTGTGCTCAAGGCAGCCATTTTGTACTAGTTAAATTACTGCTTGGTTTTACAAAGACTTCTGGGGATATATTTGGCTTAAGGCTAAAAGAGTATCTCAAGGCAATAGTTTCAGGGGCTTAGCCTCCATGACTGCAGAAAGCCTAGATTTCATGAGAATTTGAAATTCTGCTCTGCATTTATCCCCTTTGACCAGGATTCTTCTATAGAATCTTAGATCAAAATGCTCACTAGTGGTAGCCGGACACTACCCAGTTCTTCCTCCGGGAGTTTTCGGGTAAATGTCAGTGAGAGTCAGCAGGGAGTTTGTGGGCAGTTCTGGAATGGTTTCTTAGAAGAACCGGTGCTGGCGCAGTTTGCTCTGAAATGCTACAGGTCCTTGGTCGGCAAGAGGAAGCTTTGGGTTAAGCACGCTCTGCTTTGTGCACAGGGAGAAGGAAGGTGCACTACTTGTTCCCAGATGGGAAGGAAATGGCTGAAGAATATGATGAAAAGACCAGTGAACTACTGGGTAAGTTGACTGCAGCTCCTAGTGGGCCCTTAGGTCCGGGGAGTTGCAAGTGGAAGGTAGGGGAGCTGGAGGCCCACTAAGCAATCTTGGTCCTGAGGAGAATCTGAGCTCTGGACTTGACACCAGAGGATGGAAGCCTGGGAGTCCTTCTTTTTACCAGTAACTCACTAAAATGACCATGGGAGTGTAGAGAAACAGGTGGGGAAAACCTCAACTTGACAGAAGAAGTGGTATCAAAACTGAGCCTGGTAGACTGGTAGTTGTAAGGAGAGGCCTTCACTGCCTTTCTGGGGGGCCAGGGGTCGGGGAGAGTGGGAGGGTGCAGGCTTGAAATCGTGCCAGGAGCTAGCAATTAGCAGCAGCAACAGCATACGACCTTGGTAAAGGGCAGGGTCTTCCCCAAAGCAGCAAAAAAATGGGGACACCACTATGAAAATAGGGCCTTTATTTTGGACTGTCAGAGTCAAAGGGAGCATGGAGTAGAAACAGTGATTTTGCAACATTGTCATTTTCATTCCTGGAGCTCTTTTCCTCTAAGAATAGGCTCATGAGTAGGGGTTCAGGCTTAGATTTCTGGAAGTGATTGGATTTGTCCGTTCTCTGCTCCCAGGTACGCACAGCCGCATTAACCGGCTTCGTAGTCCAGGCTGCCTGGCTCTTTGGCCCAGAGTCTGAGGCTGTCAGCAGAGGGAGTTGGTCTCTTTATTAAGTTCCACCTGAAATGCTAAGACCAATGATGCAGTCATGGACTGGGTTCTTTTCTTGTCATTATTCTTGACTTTAATTTCTTCCTGGGTCTGATCGACAGGTAGTATTGACGAGGGAATTTCTTTTTTCCTTTTTCTGACAGCTCATAAATGTCACAAACCGACAACACGGATTACACTGGTTTGCATTCTCTTAGTCTCCAGTCTTAGCACATGTGCCCTGCGCATGTTCAGTCGCAGAATGAAGTGTTGATCCCTCCTTATTATGAGCTGCTTGGGCTCCAGTCCCAATTGGGTTAGTCTGGTGCTATTAAAAATTTTGATGTGTTTAGCATATGACACTGATTCAGTGGAAACCAATACAGTAGTAATATCCTCACAATGCATTGTAATTTATAACGCTCCCAGGGGCCGAAAGCCGTGGAAGGCCTAACAGGGAGAACTTATGAAAGCAGAGGTCACGTGGGCTAACAACCACCATAACCAGGGAAGGGACCAGCCTCTGTCCTCTCCCCAGTCCACAGTGTCACCTCTCTTCTCTACACAGAGCAAATCAAATGCTAGAGCTACTCTGGCTATAAAAACAAACACAACCCAGACCTCTTTGTTGTGCTTGGCCATGAAATGAAAATGAAAAACAAGTGTAGGATCCTTCTTCTGTAGCACTTTGTGCCACCATCGCACAGTAATCTGTCTCTTCTGTTGCCAGGCGGGCGTAGACCATAGGCCTCCAGCATCCGTTTCTTACCAACGTTAATGGAGGTTCATGGGAGAGTACTGATTGGCTAAAGTTTACCTGATAATAATATTAATGCCATAATTTTTATTGGGCACCAGGTTAAGTGTTTCATGTAAATTCTCTTATTTAATCATTCTCATTACAGCCCTGTCAGGTGGGGCCTTTTGGCCTCATTTTATAATTAGCAACAGCTGAAGCCCAAAGAGGCTAAGCACCTTATGCAGAATCAGGGAGCTGCTTAGGGTCTGAGCTGGATCTAAGCCTATGTTTGTCTGATTCAAGTCCATGTTTTACTTCACAACAATAAACCCTAAGTAGTGGTGGTGGTGGTGTGCTGTGGAGAACTCATAGCAACCCGACATAGAATTTCTGAGGCTGTAAATCTCATCTTTCTGCGGAATGGCTAGTAGTTTCGAACTGCTGACCTTGAGGTTAGCAGTCCAACTCGTAACCCCTACGTTTCCAGAGCTCCTTAATAAGACCTAGGGAGGTGAGAATATTCCAGTCCAGTGTTTGTGTCCCTAAATTTGATGCTCCCCAGAATGCTCTGATTGAGGGTTGATTGGGACAGAGACAGGCCGCTGAGGAGTAAGCCACCCACAGCATGGACTCCCACCTTAGAACAGCCTTGCCTTTTCTTGCCCATCACCAACCAGTACCCCCTGCCCCAACTGCCCTTTCAAGATATGGTTCATTTTAAATTGGTTTGAGATGGCTTTTGGTCATGCTATCTGTGAGGTAAATAATCCAGAAATCATGCACTATTCTGGCAGCAAATGGTAATAGTGTCCATTTTTCCAGATGGTTATACAAACTTGGTAATTGGCCAACTAGTTTTCTGTTAGAAAACCCCACACAGTAATTTCCAGAGGGGGAGCTGCTGATAGGCGCGCTTCTGTCTAGGACAGAGTTACTCCAGTTGATGGTAAGAAGTATGTTAGTGTCATATGTTTTTCCTGCCCTCTTAGTACTGTTCATCCCCACCTCTTACCCCCCAATGAACATCGTAAGTCTTCATAGAGGAAAAAGCTGGAGGGCCTCCTAACAATGATCGGAACATCAAACCAGCCCAAGAACACAGCATGTCCAGGGGAGCAGAGGCTGAAGGGCAGGCCATCCCCCAGTGATTACATTCGGATTACTGGCCTAATCTGCTTTGGTATTTGACCGCCAGCCTAACCACCCCAGGCTGCATTTGGAAGCTATTGAGCACTTTCATCCCCAAGCACTTCCCGGCTTTATAAATGACCCACTTGATTCCCTTCAGCCTCCTCAGGGATGGGACATGGCAGCTGTTTAATAGCCACATAGCAATGTTGCAGTGTTTTAGGGCAGAAAAGAAGAATCCTGCATCCAGTCTAAGCTGCAGGGAGTGTTTAGGAAAGGGGAATGTAATTATCCACGTTGGAAGTGGGCCAGATTTTGGAGCTTTGGGGGAAAAGGCCTTTAGGACCAACACTTTCCAGCCCACCTGAAAGATGGGGCCTCCTTTCAGCAGTCCGGGATATCTTCCTGCTGAGTTAGGAAACAGCCCCCAGGCGCTGCCTCCTTCATCTAGTCCCCAGAAGACCCCTTACAAGTTCATTGAAAGTCTCCTTTCCAAGGACTGGCCCTGGCTTAGCTGGGAAGAGATGACAGCATCCTGGGGAGCTGCCTTGCACACACCAGTTTGGGTTTAACGGATAATCAAATCAGAGTGACAGCAGGTGGAAGCAGTCTTCTGTTGCCGCAGGAGCTGTCCTTGAGTTCAGGAACAAAGACGGGGACAAGAAAGACAAGCGAAGACAAAGTATGTGTATGCATGGGGTGTTCATGTCCATGTGTGTGGGAGGAAGAACAAGGACTTCACCAAAATCATTTCTTGAATCTTATATCTTAACAGAATGGGCAGGGAGACTTGCTTCTGTATTGTAAGAAAGGCTTTAATTCCATAAGGTTTTTTCTTTTTTAAAAAAGATGAATAAGTCAAGGGTGCCAAGTTCCTGTGAACTGTAACTTTTGGGGTCAGCAGTAAGGAAACCAGTGACTGACTTTCTTCCTTGTAGAGTACTACTTGGGAAGGCTTCTGGGGAAAAGCCAACATTTCTTGGAGTAAAAGAGTGGATAAGAAACCCTGTGGTCAGAATTGACCCTTGGGGCCACACTGGTCTTTGATTTCGGACATACAATTACTGTGACCCAGCATTACAAATGGTTCAAAAGTCCTTATAGTTACTTTTTAGATACTCCAAACTGCTTTTTTTTAAAAATTAGAATATTTAAAAGAAACAGAACTACTTTTTAAAATAGATGTAGGAGTCTTTCTAAATATTATATATGCTTTAATTAAATGTCTGTTGCTGTTGTATGCCATTGAGTTGGTTACGATTCATTATGACTCTGGATAGGGTTTCTGTGGCTGTAAATCTCTACAGGAGCAGAAAGCCTCATCTTTCTCCCTTGGAGCAGCTGGTAGATTTGAACCACCAACCCTACGGCTAACAGCTCAAGACATAACCCACTACACTACCAGGGCTCCTTGTTGAACACTTAACCAGATGTAATTTAACCTTTTATTAATGATTCAAAACGTGGACTGGGCGTAGGAGACCTGAACTTGAGCTGTGGTGTTGGCAGGTTAGTCAATAGAATTACTGAGCCACAGTGTTCTTTACCCTGTCCCCTGGAGAGTGATGGCAAGGGTCAAGGAGAGCAGAAAGGAAAGAAATACTGTTTCTCATCTAAGAAATAGACTCTGGGCTATTTCTAAAAGGATTTCCGCCTTTCCAATCTATGATGATTGTCTTTTCTGCTGTCTAGTGATTGCATTGGGGTCTAGAGGATGCGTCCGTGGCCTGGCACTAAATAGTCCCAAGTGCTGCGTCATTCTGACACTGCCCTCTGAGGTGAACTCTTCCACCTGCTGTAGTCAGGGTGCCTGGGAGAAAAGCATATTGTGCACATTGCATTTCGACACAGTTGGAGTGAGAATTTGGGAGTGATCTTTCTGTCCTATAGCGTGAGGTACATGGATCTTGTCACCAGAAGCTGCAGCTCAGAGGAATTTGTCACTTCTGAGTTTGCAGCTGTGACAGAGGCCCCCAGAAGGCTGGCTTCCAGTTAAGCAAGGGATTACATGAATAGATTTGGATATACTCCTGGTCACAGTCTATTCACTGAAGAGCACAGAAGTATTTGTGGAGGGGAAAAAAGTTGCCTATAAAGCATATTTCCAAGTCTTACTCTTCCTTATTAATTTTCATTATAAACTTGGAAATGTGTTTCTAGGGAGAGTTTCTGGCCCTAAGACGTAATAAAATCACACTGCAGAATGCAGCAGACCTTATAACAGCACATATTCAAGGAGAAATTCTCATTTTACAGCATACTTTTGTGTTCAGCTTGCATGCCTTACTGCTAGCAATGAGGGTGTTTGGGTTTGGCACAGCTGTTTCAGAGGTCTAAAGGAAAGCCTCAGCTTGCCTGGATACTGAGGATCAGACTAGCCCTCACACTCCAGTCTTGGAAAAAGAACGAACACATGAAAACAACCATGGCAGAAGATGCTCCTTTTGAGTTATCGAGCTCCTTTTAGCAGCAGTGGGCAGGCTGGGAGCCTGTAGCACTGACTGACTGCTCAGGCCAGAGGAAACCCAGACGGAAGCCAAAGGAATTTCAAATGCAGTGCAAAGGAAAGCAAAATGGAGGAGGTGGGACACACACACACACACACTCACACACTCACACACTCACACACTCACACACTCACACTCTTGCAGTGATGGTTCCAAAAATTTCCAGCAGGGGTTTTTCAGGTAAAGCCCATTGAATTAATTTCTTGATTTATTATTTCCATAATGTATATACCTTGCTTTAAAAACAAAAATCTTATGCTAATAGCTAACTTATAAAACTGGTAAAATGGAGATGAGTTCAGTAAGGCATGATAAAAAGATGAGTCTGGTTTACAAAAAAAAAAAAAGAATTTCTAGAAGTAATGCATTTAAAATATAGGGTATGCCTAAAACTTTAAATTGAGAGATTTAACTTGTTTTAAATCTGAAATAAGTGAATGTCTCTATATTTGAACAGTCTGGAGAAGCAAACTTGCCTGACAGCTCATACCCTCTTAATTCATTTTAAAGGGAAAATCCATTTTAACTCCCATATTTTGTGACCCAAAATTTCCCTACTACCATACCTGGGTGTTCCTAGACTCCTGTGTTCCTCTCAGAGCTGTGTTCCAGTTCCTGTTGCCTGGGCATCCGTGCTATATGCTGTGTAGGTTGTTCAATATTGAAATGCTCTGCTGCAATTTCTGGGATTGGGAGGTCCCTGCTCTGCTGGACAAAGCCCAGTATAAAGTCCTGTAGCTACCACTATTATCCTTTTCTAGTTACCCAGCAGAAAAGAGCAAGACCCCTTCCTTCCCTATAATCCCATTGCCTTCTTCTCTCCCCAGTGAGAAAGTGGCGTGTGAAAAGTGCCCTGGGAGTCATGGGCCAGTGGCAGATTGAGGTTGGTGATCCAACAACCCCAGGAGCAGGGATCTTGGGGCCAGAGCTCATTAAGGAAAGCAGTGCCAATGTATGTATCTGTTCAGGTGCTCTGTGGATGGGGGCGGGGGTGGGGTGGCTACTGGGCCTTGAAAATAGGGAGCATGTGCTCCAAATGTTTGCTGAATGAAGACCCAAAAGGTTTGAGTTTGCTCATCCCAGTGCAAGCACTCCAGGCCTGCAATAGCCCAGCAGTAGTAGTATAAGGGGGAGCTGTAGAAAGAACTGAGGGCCTCTAGGCACCATTGGAATGCTGGGCAAAGCTTTGAGGCATGTAGGAACTGTTCCATCAGACGTCTACCTAAGAAAATGAGTCCTTGATTTGGATTGGCCTTCTGCAGCCCATCTTCATGCGCAAGGACACCAAGATGAGTTTCCAGTGGCGGATTCGGAACCTCCCCTATCCTAAGGATGTCTATAGTGTCTGTGTGGACCAGAAGGAGCACTGCCTTGTTGTCAGAACAACCAACAAAAAGTGAGTCGCCTGGTGGGTACTTATCTGCTTGGGCCTGAGCAGTCTAGAGGGTGGAGTTGGCCTGGGGTTAAGTCTTGAACGTCTCCCTACCCCAGGGCAGAGAAGCCACTTCCCTGCAACTCTGAGGAAGGGAGGAAGGAAAGACAGGCAGGCTGGCTGACAGAACTAAAAACCGTAGTCCGATACTGAAATCTTGAAGGGATTTCTCTCCTTCGCCTCACCAAGACCAGTGTGAATAATGTTATCAGCTTCCTCAAGACAAGGGATTGCTACTTGTGTACCAAACGAGTGTCTGGTGCTATTCCTGGCACACATACTAGAGCCCCGATAATATCTGGTCATGACTAAGGGAGTGAGGGCACCAGGTGACCATTCACTCATAACCTTAGGGGTTTCTTCTGGCAGGCTGTTTGTGGCCTTGGCATCCTGACTGCATCTAGTCCACAGTGAAGAGATAGCCTGCCAACACTGCTGTTAGCTCTGGCAGCACACCTGTCCTAGGTGGTAAAGTCCTGGCCTGGTACACAGTAAACCAGGTGCTAAGGGACAGTACACAGATCTTTTGGCCTCTTGGAAGTCTTTTGTACTGTGTTTCAAAAGGGCACTCAACTTCCTTTTATTTCTCTTCCTGTGGGCCTCTAGCAAGAGTGGTAGGAGAAGTAAAATGTGAGGGTTGAGGGGACAGAAAGTGGGTGATGAGGATGAGCTTGAGCATCTTGGGTTTCCAGAACTCTGACTGATCACAGGAGAAGACAACCCTGTTTAAAGTCTGAAGGGAACAGCCCTGAAATAAATCAGTCTTGTCCAGTGTCAGAGGGGCTGCAGCACAGGACCACCTCCCATGAAGAAGATTTGGGGCACTGAGCTGGGAGGACACCACTGTGAAGCCACCCTCCATGCCCCCTGATTGCTAAGCCTAGTCCAAAGTTGCCCTCACTCTACCACTGGTTTTTCCGCAGTCAGGAAGACCCGGTCCTTTTCCTGTCTTCTAAGCTGTGTGGTGTCTTCCTCCCTTCCAATCTTCCTCTGGACCATGAGGTCCACAGGGAAGAAGTGTGGCTCCCAACTCCCCAAATGCAGCCTTGGGTCCCACCTTCCTCTCCTGACCTCCACACCCCGTCACTGTACCAGGGTTACGGGGAAGGGGTGGAGATGAATGAATTAATTTCAGGGTTATTGCTGTGTATGCAGCTAGCAGCCCCTGCAGTGGGCCTTGTCTGGAAATATAAAGACATAATAATAAGAGTTTGCGTTTATAAAGCACTTTGAAGCCCTCAGATAAAAGGCAGTTTCTTCCCGTTATTGTTCTCATCATTAACAGGAGTCACTGCCTAAAGTGGGATGTAGCAGTTTCCGACAACAGAGAAATTGCCTTTAGGAAAACAAACTCCATGCTTCAGCAAGCATTCCCTGGCGGAAGAGGCCCTGGGTCCAAACTGGGAACAAAAGTGCTTCTGATAGCACTTGAATCTGCAGCCCAGCAGTTTGTGGAGCTGGCTGCTGCCTCCCTTTTGTCCCCCAGAGGTCACTGTCGAATACAGATAACAAGCCGAAATGTGATTACCAGGGAGTGAGAGGAGAGGCTCGCTAGCTCACCAAAAAATTCATCTGCGGGCCAATCCTCTGGGTCCCATCGCCTGCCCATATTCAGCCATAGGTGGCGCTGTTGGCTAGAGACTCTATGGCTACAGGCCCACTCTTTCGCCTAGGATGGGGGAAACAATTTTGAAATGATGGGTGAGGCCAGGTGAGATGAGAGTGGTATGGCTGGAGACTGGAGAGGAGGCCCGCTTCGGAGCCCTCGCGGAGCTCATGTCCAGTTTCCCAGGCCCTGGGACTGACTCAGCCCAGCCCCTCTGCTGGGAGGTAGGTTAGAACGGCAGTGAAACCCATCATCTGCTCCTTCCTGGCGTTTTCTTCTACCTGGAGTGCTGTGTCCTCCAACTTTACTACCACTAATTAAGCTGAACCTAATGGCTATTCTTTTGAGCAATGTTAGCTTTTTCAGGGACTTTTAAAATCTGTTCTCTGACCTTCTCACTGTCCAGAGGTGGGTAGGGTGAATATGTTTACTATTGTCATATGTAAATGTCGGAACATATCTATGAAGGCCACTGACCCGCTGGAGGGGAAGTCAGTGATAGTGTCTCCCGGTGCCCAGACATGTGACCCTTCCACCACACAGTGGTGTTTGACTCTTTCTTCACCTGAAGGTTCCATGCCTATCCCAGCTCTACTAATCTGGAATGTGGTTAAATCTTCCCTCTGCCTCTCATTAGTTGTGTTATCCTGGGCAAGGCTTCCTCATCTATCACAACCTACCTATCTTAAACCTACCTCATAGATCATGTGGGGGAATTTGATGAAATCCTAGCTAGAAAAACACAGAGCACAGTGTCTGGCCTGAAGCAGGTCAACAGTTCTATGAAAATCTGAATCTTAAGAGTGTGGCTGGTGTGGTACTGGTGTTGCTAATCTGGGGAAGGTGTTAATAGGAATTGCTAGAAAAAAGGATTCTGTGGTCATGTAAGTTTAGGAAACTCTGGCTTAAGCAGCTTCGTCTCTGACAGGACTTCTGAGAGCCGTTAGTATGTACACACGCATGGTGATGCCCTAGGAGGGCTACATTGTAGGCAGGAGTGACTACAGTTGGCCAGAGCCTTGATGGCTAAGGCCAAAAGAAGATTTTTCTGCTGTTTTTCTCTGGCCCTGGTTGATGGGAGACTTCTCTGAATGGCTCTGGCTGTGCAGGTTGTTTGATGCAAAGGACGCCCCCTGGAGGTGTATGGGGCACAGCCCTGCGTCTCCTTTCAGCTAGTCTTTCTCACTCTGAGCCTGGTGTCTTATGCCCTGCCTCAGTTCGCTGAAGGGAAAAGGCTGGGAATTGGGGAGGGAATTCAGTGGGAATTGAAGGATGGGATGCAGTAGGTCATTTTTGCAGTCACCAAAATGTAGGAGCTGCCCATGTGGCACAGGGACAAGAGAGGGACAGAGCAGATCTGTGTGGGACTTTTTATCATGATTTAAAGTTCATCTAGCATAGTTCCTTTATTTGAGGAAGCAATCTGGATGAAGAAACTGAGGTACAAGTTAAGTGGCTTGCTCAGGGTCATAAGCAGGGCCAGGAGTCCTGCTATAAGCCTTTGCTTCCCATGAGCTTCTTTGAAGCTGTTTGGTATTCGGAGAGGCCACTTGTGTGTTGGAGAGAGTACCTAGGAGGCCTGCAGGGTGGTAGGATCCCTACAGCAAGGGATTCCCAGAGGAGACCACCTGTTTGTTGCTGCCCCTGCACTTAGTCTATGGCTCCAGAAGTTACCCCATCCCTTTCTGCCCCATCTTGGGACAGGTGCAGGAATCTAGACCAGGCAGTCTGTTAGTTGTCGTGAGAATGGAGATAAATGGAGGGTCAGGAGGTTAGGAGACTTGTGCTTGAAATACATAGGGACTTCTCTATGTGATTTGAGCAAGATATATCCAACTTCCCTCTGCCTGAGTTTTCTCTTCTACAAAATGATAATAGAAATAACTAACTTGAGGTGATTATTTGGGGGTGTCTACAGGGAGCTAGGGAACTACCCCACTAAGGCTTTAGCTTTTAGTAGATGCACAATAATGTGTACTCGGTTTGAGCCCCTTAGGGATGCAGGGTTATGCTTTTTTTCTTCTTTATCCTTGTATTCCCAGCTCACAGCCTGGGATACAGCTGATGCCCCATAAATGTTCATTCGGGGCCCCAGCTTTTGCAGAAGCATAGTAAGACCCTGATGTCCCTCTCTGGTCCAGGTGCTTATGAGAAAGTCCATTGCAGTCCCCCACAGAGCAAACCCCAAAGTCATAGAATGGAGGTCAAAAGGGAAGGGCCTGCCATTGCCCCCAAGGAAAAAAAGATGTCCCATATTCCCTGGAGTCCTATCTATCAAACCACCTCTGAGAGGTTGCTGAACCTCAGCCAACAGAATCAACCCGTTAGAATTGACTCTTAGAACAAAGCTGAGTTCTGGACCCTCTCTTCCCTCTAGCCTCCAAAAAGGTGGCAGGAGTATGACTGGGGAGGTTGGCAAGTTATACACCTCAAGTTCCCGCTGATCCTGTCAAGAGTTGGTATTGAGGACAAGTCCTGGGATTTTTTTCCCAGTTCCACTTCCCCTGACTGGGAATGGGGCTCTCTGAAGTCCCACAGGTGTGTCTCTGCCCTCACCTGCCATACAAACCAGGTAGGGAGCAAAGCTGTTCCCATACTCTATGCGGTGAGGCCACACCTCCCCCAACCTCCCCAGTCTGCTCTGGCTGTGTGTCTGGGCCACTTCTCTCTCTGTTCTACTTTTTGTGTATATTTGTGGGTAAGATGTTAACACTTCCTAACAAGCCTTTGTGTTCATCTAATCTCTGCTGTTTAACCTTTGACTTGTCCCTATTATCAGTGTCTGCCACCTTTGCTGGCCAGCCCAGCCCCAGGAAGAGCCTTCAGCCTGGGCCAGCTAGGAGGCAGCCCAGGCAGCATTCCTCCCCTGGTCTGCAGGCAGATGGATCACCTTTCCCTGGGGCAGAGCTTTGGAAAATAAAGCAAACTTGTTGTGCCATTAGGATACCCACCCCCCCAACTCCTTTTGAACTGTCAGCCTTTAAGTAAACATTCTTTTCCTGCCATGGGTCTCAGCACCTTGGTGAGGGGTGGGGACCCTGGGAGGAGAGGGGCCCTGTGAGCTCTACTGAGCTGAGGGATTTGAGCAGGGAGAGCGGGACAGAAGTGTTGCATTGATGTCAACTATCCGAGTCCCCAGGGCATCTTGGCTTTTGAAGTGGACTCAGAGTAGCTGTCGTGAGAAGGACTGGGCCCCTCTGAAGTATTAAAAGCTACATCCTCTCCAAGCCCCTTGGTTAGGTTTGTTTGTGCCTGCCTGCAGCTTGTCCCTTCCCAGTCCACACCACTGCTACAGTGGAAAGCGATACTGTGCCCAAGTGACAATCTGGGAGCCAGTGGCTGAGCTGCAGCTATATGTCCACCAAGGACAATGGCAAGTAGGCCTGTTGTCAGAGATGGAGGCTGTTATTTGTGCTCCAGTGTAATAAGCACCGGACTAGGAACAAGTAACTTGAATCCCAAAGCCATTGACAACTGGCTGTGTGAAACCAGGCAAGACAGTTCACCTCTGAGCCTGAGTTTCCTCTTTAGTAAAAAGGGTCAAATTTCCTGCCGAACAAAGCCCAGTTACACACATTAGGGGCCGGGTGTTGCTATCTGGGTATTAAAAGGGATCATTAATCTCAGGATTGGCACCTGTAGAGACTACGGCTGGTATATGGTGTGTACAAAGACAAGTAGGGTGTTAGGGCCATCCAAGTAGCCCAGAGCTAGCCTCTGTGGTGAGGTTTATGGTTTTCTAAGTGAGTGTTTGCTTTGTGGTGGTACTTTTCTCTCTGACCTACAGATTGAGTCAGACTAACTAGGCCTTGAAGACCCCAAGAAAGAAACAGGCTGCTGAAGCTTCAGTGGGAGTCCCTTGTGAAGTCACCTGTGGTTCCCCCGCCCAGGATGTCTTTATTCTGTCCCTTGTCAGCACAAATATCTCTATCTCCGTGTGGTGTCCCATGAGCTTCGGGCTATGGAAGAAACCTGAGTTACCCACGCTATCTGTACATTTCGGGAGGCTGCTTCCACTGGTCTCCAGGAGTCCCAGCCCCTAAGTCAGAGTCACCTTACCTATATCTAATCTAATGAAGAAACCCTGACTAGGTTTCCCATTTCACTATTAGACATTCTTTCCAGGACCACTGAGCTCTAGAGTCCTGGTGTGGCACTTCAGAATAAAGCACCTGGGTCAACAGGTTGTTTTGAATCGTTAAGACTGGCAGTTCAGACTCACTAGTTGCTCCTTGGAAACACTATACGGGGTCATTACGACTCAATGGCACAGAGCAACAAATAGCAGCTCTAAATACTAGTGTTTGAACTGGCTTCCCTTCTCTGGTGTGGGGGGAGAACTGTGTAGAAGCTTGGCAGCAGATGGCCCTGGTACCCAATTGTTAGGGTCACCCTGTTGGGTGTCCCCATGGTCTCTTGGTGTTCCCACAGGTACTACAAGAAGTTCTCCATTCCTGACCTAGAGAGATACCAGCTACCACTGGATGATTCTTCCTTAAGCTTTGCTCATGCCAACTGCACTCTGCTCATCTCTGTAAGATTTGCCCAATTTTCTTGGCCAGTGCATCAGGGAGCATCTTCCTTTTTACCTGCCCACTTCATGTCCCATAGGATTCCCCAGTTCTGGCAGAGTGGCTGGTGGGTTTGAACCAATGACCTTGCAGTTAGCAACCAAATTCCTAATCCATAGCTCCTTTGCTAGAGAATAGGCATATTATATTAATTTAGGATAGGGAAAGTAGAGTAGGGGCTTGGGAGGAACCTAATTATACAAAATCATACCTGGAAGAGATAGAGGATGTTGGGCATGGGGTAGAAATCATAGGACCCAGCACTCAGCCACATGACCTTGAGCAAATCTGTCGTGTCTATGTGTGTGTGTGACCTGTAGTTTAGTGGCTGAATTATGCCCACTACTTCCTGACTCCATCCACAGTACCAGAAGCCAAAGGAGATCCTGGCAGCGGAGTCAGAGCTACAGAAGGAGCTGAAGAAGGTAAAGACGGCCCACAACAGTGATGGGGACTGCAAGACTCAGTAACAGCCTCAACCTCCAGGGTGGGAGGCACTTCCTGTCAGGTTGTGAGACTTAGAGACTTGGAGCTGCCAAGCATGGTGGCAGCAACCACTCTTCCAGGAGCGATTAGTCTCTGTAAGAGCCAGACCCTGTGGCACTCCTAGCCCCGAGACCATGGTCCCATTTCCTGAGTAAAGTCATTCTGAGTTCCTGCTGACAGGTTGCCCTCTTGTCCACCTCCTCTGTGTGCTGGCCTTCCCAGGGAGGGTGCGGATGATGACATTTCTTCTCCTCAATTCTTCAACCTAAAGCCTTGCACATAAAGGGAGGCACATAGGCCTTTAACAGAGAAGAGGATGGGAGCACTTGTTGGCATTGGTAGGGTAAGAGATGAGTGTGTCCCAAACTCAGAAGATGACTAGTTGGAACAAACTTTGGTAGAAGTGGCCCAGAACACCATAAGAAAGATTTGAGCAAGAAAGAAGTTTCTAAAATGCAGAAACCTTGGAAATAGGCTGAGATGTTAAGACCATGTAGGTGAAAAGGCAGGATAAAGGGTGTAGTAATAACTAAGGGGCAAGTGTGCTGGGTGGGGTAGAGAAGGGGTACAACAGACAGTAGCCTAGCCCCCCAGGCAGCCCAAAGAGAGTCCATGTTCCTTTCTCTCCATTCCTCCATGGGTGACATCCATCCTACCACCAGGTCAATGGAAGAGTTTCCTGAAGAAAAGAGCCCTTCGTTATTTGGGTTACTGAGCCATAAGGCTGGTCCTTCCCAAAGCAGGTACATCCCCTAGTTTGAGTCTGTCATTCCCATTCCCTGGGCTTCTTCCTAGGACTGCCCAGCCAGTCAAGGACCAGATCTGTGAATAATCAAGCTTTACTTTGCCAGAAAATGGAAGTGGTAGCAGTCTCAACAACTGGCCTGAGGTAGGTCTGGCTCAACACTCAATCAGAACTGCTGGGTTCTCTTTGTCCTTTCTTGATTTCAAAGCAAAACCAGGCCACAGTGCCCTAAGAATGATCCCAAACCCCAAGGCTGGGGTGTAACTGAGGAGGTGGTACCAGCAGTTGAGGTATTATCAGAGCCTCACCCCTCCTTCTAAGGAAGGACAGGAAGGGACCAACTGCATGGCCTGGAGCACCTCTCCCCAAGCTGTAAGCTGTGGTGGGCCTCACCAGGCCAGAACCAAAGCCAGGGTTCAGCTGCGCTCTCCCATAGCGGCAGGTCCCTTTTTTCTAACTGGTTCCTGGAAGAGACTCCGTCCTTCACTGTGGTCACAGATGGAGCACAGGCAAGTGGGGCGGGGGTTGGCGGTAGTCACTGTCCTCTCCATGCAGGAGGGGTCCCTGAGTAGCTGGCTTGCTTAGCCCACAGGTCGAGGTGGCCCTGACTTGTCATGGGTTTTGAAAATCCAGGACATGGAGGTTGTAAGAGAGTGCAGCATAGAGATGGTTGGTGGTGAACCGCAGGCAGTACACAGGGCTGCTAAGTGGGGTTGATGTCAGCGGGAAGGCCTGGAAAGAAGGAAAGAAGTGGTGAGAACTTTTCAAGGAGAATATGGCAGAGCTCTACCCCAGGCCCCTGGGCACATCAGCCTCCCAAGATACAGCCCATTATAATCAATGAGTCTTGGCCTCTCGGCAGCTGGAAGGTAGGTGGAAGACATACATGCAGACAGCCCCTTTGGCGCCGGTCCCATAGCCGCACAACGCCGTAGTAGGAGGAGCCTGTAGCCAGCAGGTGGTTCCCATCTGTCTGCAAGCAGTACAGGGTGCTGTCGTGGGGCTCCTCCCATTCCATGACACACTTCCTGTCCAGGAAGAAGAGTTTCAGGGGGAAGTTTGGAGGCGCCCTCTACTACCACCCCAGCATCCCCAGGGAAGGGTTAGGGGAGTGATTCCAGGCTGAAGCAAGCCTAGTGGAGAAAACAACTTCTGTAAAAGTCTCTCACACACCAAACCCCAAACTGCAGGGCAGATTCTGTCCTCACTTGTGTTTCTCAAGGCTGGCAGCATATCATGAGCCAGAGGGCTAAGGGACCTACTGACTGCAGCCTCCCAAGCACAGGAAACATGATGTCCCCAGGAGAGTCTACCATCTTGATCCTTTCTGTCCACTCCCTGACCCAGGGCTGGAACAAGGACCAAGACTACATGGGCTTCCTGCCACCACTCACCGGACACTGGTGCGGAGGTCCCAATAGCGAACATAGGTGTCATAGCCACAGGACAGGAGTGTGGTAGGGCTCTCGTACATGACGTCCAGCACCCCAGCCCCTGGAGGAAAATCACTGCCCAGATGTGTCAAAAGCTGCCCACTGGGAAGAGAGAAAGGGCAGAGACTGTCCAAAGTTGGCCTTTCAGATAGCATCAGAGCCCTCCTTCCTGAGCTAGAATTAGAATCCCTCAGGAAGAAGGGTAAGAGGCCCCAGATTCCTCTTCACCCCTACCACAAGGCCTCTCCCTACCCCTAGCATCTCAGTCCCAGCTAAAGGCTTCAATCAGATGCCCGCAAGCTCCTCTATCACACCTGCACACTGGCTGCCCGACAGCAGCCACTCAGGACAATGACTGTGCCCGGCAAAAGGGCACACACGCACAGATATACGGCTACTTTATACTACTTGATCCTGCAGGTCATGAGCTGCCCGAGTCCAATGCCTTAATTCCCGCCTGTAATCTGGGGCTCAAACCTCATTGGGGATAAAGACCACACAAAGGGAAAAGGGGAGTCCCAGGAGATGCTGAAACAAGTCAACACCTTTGTGTCCAGAGAGAAATCGCTGAGAAAGCAGCTTAGCAGGCTGGTCCCTGGTGTTCCCGGGCTAGGCTGGCCCCCAGCCCAGGGCTCACACGCTCTGTGATCACAGCCCCCAGCCTGCTGGGCTCCAGCCTGCTCCCGGTGGCCGAGAGCAGATTACTGAGAAGAACAATTTCTTTGTGACTGTGTGATTCCCTCCGTGACCGCGGCAGTGGGCAGACCCCTCATCCTGATGCCAGACCCCTAGCAACCACGTAGGGGGGCCTTGTGGCCTTAGCAACTACCATTCAACATCAAGTGCACCTGCTAATTCCTGTGACTAAGGGATGGGTAGAAGCATTGAGTTTCCATAGGATGACTGTGGGGATTGAAGTAGAAGGTAATACCTCTCCCGACCCCTCAAGGAACACCCTTTAGCTTTATCCAAGAGATGCTGGGCTCTCCTCCAGGACATGGCAGGAGGAACAAGGCCATGAACATGCCACAGGGAGCCCAGGAAAGTGGTCCTGGCATGGGTGGGAGAGGACTTCATGGTCCCACCCTCCCAGTTTTGGCCTAAGAATTTCAGCAAAGGGCTGCAGACAGCCAAGGTTGCCAGCATATGTCTGAGTGCAGACTGGCTCCAGCTTCCACCCTCAGAGCAACTCTGACCCTCAGCCTATTCCTCTGGAGTAGAGCCACCATCTTCCCTGTAGGCTGAAGGAAGTCAAGGGAGAAGGCTGTACAAGTTCCTTTCTCTCTACTCTGCCTGTCCCTTTGGACCCTGTACAGTGAGGTAACCCTTTGCAAAGCACTGCTGCTGCTGTTCAGTGAGTGCAGGGTTGGGCCCTAAGTCAGTACCTTCAGTCTGTCCCAGCTTTCTTCCTAGGAAGTTCTCTTGCAGTGTTGGGCTGGATGGAGGTAGAAGATGACTAACCTCTGTGTATTGGAGGAATCGTAAGTGGGATCCTAACGAAGCCTCACACAGGGCATCACTCAACCACCCTGAGCGGCCAGAGCCCTCCCTCCCTGTATAGGGTCACACTCTAGGGCACAAATGTACATTTGTGCACACCTAGTAAGCACTATTTTGGGCCACACTTCTCCCTCTCCTTCCAGATTTGGGGGCCTTGCCCCTTCTAGTAATGAGACTTGAGGAGTGACTGGGGAGCTCTCCCCTTTAATCTCCAGAAGTAATTTTATGTTTGTCTGAAATAGAAGATGAAAGGCAATAGGGGCTGAGTGACTCGCAGCGTGGCTCTACCTGGTCCCTGGGTTCAATGGGAAAGGAGGGCTAGGCACCTATGGGTCTGTGAAGGGGAAGACCGAGACTGGACTGCTGATGACCTGGGCTACTGCCCCAACGTTTGTGCCACCACTGGAAATTGGCATGGTTACAATTCTCTGTAACAAATACACAATAGTCCAAAGGCTCCCATCCTGAGGGAGGCCTAAGGGCCCAAGAGAGCCTGCCTACCCTGGGGGCAGGACAAGTGTATGCTAGACTGGCCAGATGGCTAAAGAGTTTCTTTTTTCCCCACAGTTAGTTCTCTGGGTCTCTGAAATGGCCACACACACTTTAAATGGGCCAATAAAAAGATACAATTTCTTTCACTTCTGGGCCCAGGACCCTTGAGGCTGTGTTGTGCCGTGCCAGTGAGGTTAAGTTCAGAGCATAAACTGACACACCAGGCTCTGGGAAATGGCCCGTCTCTTCCAATAGCGGCCCAGCGGTGCCATGGGAGCCCTGCTGGGGCTTTGATTTGGGAAAACAAACAGAAATGGCACCATGGGCCTATCAAGGCCCCCACCCTAAGACCAATTTAACTAGAAAACTCCAGCTCAACTGCTGTGGTAGAGGGAGAGATCAGCCCGACAATAGCTCCAAACTTTGGGGGGAAGGGGACAAAACCAGCTGTCTGTCTAGTCCCCTCCTCCTGAGCTCCTTTTCTTACTGCAAGTGTGTTCTTGTAAAAACGATTAGATTGCAATTTGTATAACGTGGTGACCCCCAAATTCAGACATTTCACCCCTTTTCTCTGGAAAGAATGTTAAGAATGCTTCTCGGCCTCTCACTGTGGGGGGCAAAAGGGGATTGCAGAGCCTTGGCTATTGCACAACTTGTGTGGGAACAGGACTGCTGCTCAGAGCTCTGGGCCAAGACAGGAGCAGGGCTGGGTCTGTCATTATAGAGGGCCAGACAAAAAGGCCCTTCCCTTCCAGCTCCTGTGGACAAAGCCTGGCCATGGGCCTCCAGGAGCCGTGGAGGGCTGGGGGCCTTCACACTCCAGCCTGATTCGGGCAATTCTCTCTCGACCCAGGGAAAGATAAAGACAGATGGGGCCGCCCTGTGAACCTGATGAATAAAATCCAGGCTGGGGAGGGGCAACTGAAGAAGACCTATTTCATCCCCCCCCCCACACACACACATGCTGTTCGGCCTGGGTCCCAGAGCCTGTGAGTACATTAGCCAGAAAAAGGCAGTACTCCTTTGCAACGTGGAGTCGCCTGCCCCACCACACTGTTGGAGAGGACCACCCCGCCTTTTAAGTGAGGACAATGCTGGCTCCAAGGACCTGGCCAGGCCCACCCTCTGCCTCCTAGTCCAGGTGCTGAAGAGTTCCAGCCAGCCCTACTTCCTCCTCTCTTCCCAACACACCTTCTACCCAGCTTGGCCAGCCTGAGCCCCTGTAGCCATGCCCATAAAAAGACATCCCCCTTCCCCAGCCCCCACTCCACCAAGTGCTCCTCAGATACTTCAGGCCCATACCATTTTACAGCCATGTTTAATATACTGGCTTCCTGATGGTGCTCCCTAGGGATCCTGTAAGTGTTCCTTCCTGCATCTGTCTGGGTGCAGAAAGGAGCACCTTATAGGCCACCCCAGCTGGCATGTGCTGCTACCCTGAAATGCAACAATGGCTTCTAAGGGAGGAAAGTGACAAACAGTATATCCTCTGGGGACAGATGGCCTCAAGGTATAAGCCAAGGGCAGCATCATCACCAGAGAATGGAAGGGTCTTTCTCCTTCCTCCCTTTCATCCCTCTTTGATCAATGAGCATTTATTAATCATCTTCTGTAGACAAGGTATTTTGCCTGACATTGCAGAAAGATGTGAGTGGTAACTCTGAAGAAAACATTGTCCCTGCCCTCAGAATTTTCAATCCATTGGGAAGAAGCCTGAATCATGTACACAACTAGCCAAAAACAAAGTGTACCTGGATAGGTACCACAGATCTAAGGAGAGTTTTGTAAGAGTACAGATAAGGAATGAACAGGCTGGAGTGTTCAGTGACTGATAGGAGTGAGGGCTACTACAGGTGGAAGGGGCAGTAACATCAAGGGTGCAGCGGGACGCCACTGCTTGACTGTAGGTGTCAGTAGGTGAGGGGATGGCAAATCAGGCTGGTGGGATCTGTCTTCCAGACCATGTTAAGTACCGTGGAGTCGCTTCCGACTCATAGTGACCCTGTACAGGGTTTCCGAGACTATAAATCTTTACAGGAGCAGAATGCCTCATCTTTCTCTTGTGGAACTGCTGGTAGTTTTGAACTGCTGACCTTGAGGTTAGCAGCCCGACTCATAACCACTACGCTACCAGAGCTCCTCCAGACCATGGTGGGCCTTCAAGTCCGCGATTCTCACCTGGCATTAATTCTCCAATGGACAGAAAGTCATAATGCCTTTGAGCATGAAGTGACTATCCTAATCCAGATTTCAGATAAGGAAACCCAGAGCCTTCAGAGGAAAAGCAACCTTTCTAAAGTTCTACAACAAGAAAAGGCTGAACTTCTGGAAACCAGTCTGGTGGTAGCATTCCGGGCTGAGGGGACAGAGGTGCTGCCCCCTAGGTTCGCTGAAGCTGGAGCCGACCACTGTACATATGTGTCAGGTGATGGCAGAGTAGCAACGATCACAGCTGCAGCTCCCATCTGCTGAGTCCATAGACCTATGAGGTCAGTTTTCTTGACCCCTTTTTACAAACTAAGTCCCAGTTGTCATGCACCTAGTAAGCATGCTCCAAAGTACATGGTCTCCCTGGTAGCACTCCCTGCCCTCACAGACAAAAGGCCCTCAACATTGTCCAGTTGTTCAATCTGACTTTCTCCCAAGCCCTTGCCCATTCTTTGCAGGCTTCCACAGCTCCCCATGTTCCCAAAGGCTGGCCCTCTGGTGGAAAAGGTGAGGCAGGGGGCAGACAGATCCCAGCTATCAACCATGGAGGGGCATTGAGGGAAAGGCAATGGAAGCCCCTCTTATCCTACCCCCATCAGGTGAGAGAAAAGGGCCCTTACCAAGCACACAGTACTCGCATGCATGTGGGTGTGCATGTACACACCCCCAGCACCCGCCCATGCACACGTGTTCAGACACAATGGCTCAAAGGCCAGGCGGCCAGGCAGCCCACTTTGTACTGCTAACAAGGGGACCGTAATTACAGGAAGGGGCAGCCGGGCAGATAAAAGGATACAAAATTTCAACATCTGTTGCCATAAAGGGATAAGGAGAAGTGAAACGCAAAGTATCAGTTTGGTGTCAGCAGGCAGAGAGCCAATTTCAAAGAGTTCAGGGGACAG